CCATTCTTGTCAACACTACAAGTTGATTCGTGTGATTGACCTATGTTGTTTTGCTTGCAGGCATAGAAAATAGTGATTTTGAGCATTATGGCCCTTGGATGCTCATGTAATAGTTTTCAAGGTATTATTTGTTTACTTTAATATTGTAGTAACCGGTGGCAGGTTGTGCTGATGTAAGTATCAGTACATTTGCTGAGGTTGCATAATTTTAACTGCATTTTGAGCTCAAAACATATTTATTACAAATTATGAAAAGCTCTATTACAACATCTGATAACGTGGGGAACATAGAAATTAATGTAGTTAAGTTATTATGTTCTTGTTATGTGAGAATCATGCTAATGGCAGGTCTCTCTATTCGAGAGTTCCAGAGTATTCTGGCATATTGTTTGACTGGAAACAATCTGCAGACTGAATTAGCTACGCCTCCTTAATTTTTAACTTGTATTTTGGAACGATATCAGAGGAAAAATAAAATCATTGGTTCGTCAGCCCTCCTGAAATTGAGAGGCTTTGGCAACAGACACTGTGCAGAATGCTAAAATCTCTTGACGCTGGTCATGAAATTATGTCTCTTGTACTGTCAACTGGAGCAAATTATCGCGTCTGTGATGTCAGACCATGTCATCTGACACACCGTAATATCTTGGAAACAGTGACTTGCAAGGATCGAACACACGTTTTTTCTCATCTCTATGTGGTCCGCTGCATACATTGTGTTTAACAAGTGGCAAGTCATGCTGATGACTCCATATATTGATTATTTATTACATTGGTCCAGGTTGCGTGCATTTTGTACTCAAAACATGAGAAGCTGTATTACAGTATCTGATAACATGGGAAACATAAAATAATTAATCTAGTTAAGATTACTGTCCTCGTTAAGTAAGGATCTTGCTAATGGTGGGTTTCTCTAGTTGAGAGGTCCAGAAATTTCTGGTGTGTAGTTGGCTGGAAATGATCTGCAGACTGAAGTAGCCACGCCTCCTTAATTTCAGTTGTATTTTACATCCTCTGATTTGTTATATCTGTAACAATATCAGAAACAAGATGATTGGTTTGTCAGCCCTCCTGAAATCGAGAGGCTTTGATGACAGACACAGTGCAGAACGCTAAAATCTCTTGATATTGGTCGTGAAGTTTTGTCTCTTGTACTGTCAACTGGAATGAATTATTGCATCTGCAGTGTTATAATAGCTGGAAAAGACTTGTGGGGACCACACAAACAGTTTCCTCATCTCTGTGTCTTCCACTGCATTATCATTGCTCAGATGACAAATGTCAGAAAGAGTGAAAATATAGTGCTTGTGCCATTTCTGACTGCCACTGGCTCCCTTTGAGATGCCCGTTGCTTCTCATTACCTGGAATCGTTTAGTTGTTTTAAAATTTGGCTGTGGTTTAGTTGGCTGCTGACTTGTGACATGTGGAGTTATAAACATGGTACAAAACAGGAAGCTTTTATCCTAGCGTATTTTCTCAATAAGGAAATAATTGTATGTAAAAAATATTTGATGACTGATTTCTGCTTTTAGACACCTCATGCATGCGAATTTTGCTGAGCTTTCTTTTGACAAATATGTTAATTTGTCTGTTGTTTAGCTTTTCAACCTCAGTGTACCATCCATATCTGTTTATGTTCTATACATGAAGTAGGCCGCACTAAGGTGACTAAAATTGAAGATTAACATTAGAAATATAGGATCTGTGTTAAAAATTAGCAGTATATGTGAATGACTTGACTGAAATTGTTAGCAATTTCAAATGTTTAGATATACAGTACAAAGTTGTTAATCTGGACATCCATAATCCGGAATGATCTATAATCCGGCCCTCAAAGCTACAAACTTTCTGTGCATGCGTTTATGCATGCGCATAATACGTTTACGCATGCGCGTTTAATGTATAACGGACGGTATAAGCTAGGCTAAAATGATCTAATTATCTATTTCAGTTAATGTTGCAGATTGTGTTGTTCCTTAATCTTCTAATTAGATCTGGCTTATTATTTTTTGCAGACTGTTATAGCAATTTTATGAAAAGTAAGCTTGAACTTACGATTATGTCAAAAAGAGTTTCCGATTCTGGAGCTGCCTAAGGATCTACAAGCGAAAGCGTGTTTCGATGTACCACTTCCAATAGTGAAGAAAGTGACAGAGAGGTTATTGAAAATGAAAAAATTTCATTTGACAAGTTAGTTGGTATTCTCGACACAGCGATTACAGGACTTGAACAGTGAAACTGAACAAGAAATTATGTCTGTTTATAGAATTAAAGAGAAAGTATTAGCACAAAAAAGGAAGCAACTTAAACAACTTACATTGAAAGAAATGTTTAATAAAGTAAACAAATAAATATTAAGCTTTTATTTTGTACATTTTGATACCCTTTTAGATCATAATTGCTCTTTATTTCATAAATTACAGTTTCGTATTTTTAATTTTATAATTTCTGCATGCCGTCTTACCAGATTTAAATTTATTATCTATAATCCTGAAAAACTCCTAATCTGGAATCGTCAAAGCCCTGACGAGTCAGGATTAAAGACTTTGTACTGTAGTAGGTTCTAAATTTAATTAAAACAGACACAAAAATCATATCTTGTGCTGAGTATGTTTAAAAGCTATAGTTGAAGGTTTTAAATGCTGATTATAGACATGAACTTCTAGTTAGAATTTTTTAAAACTAGGTATGGACTAGTTTAGAGACTATTTATTTTTGTAAAAAGAAAATCTTTTAATGTAGTTCTTGTAGAGTAAAAATTCCAGTTTTAATGAATTAAACAAAATAAGTTTTTGTACTTTTCTCTTTAATTTCTCTGCAAATATTCAAGCATAAATTTGGTGGCTTAGAACATGTTTCCTGAACTTATTCATCAAGTTGGAGAGGTCTGCAGCCAAATTTGAAATTAGTTTTTGTCATGGCAAATCTAAAAATAACTGAGTGCTTTAAATGTTAAAATGATTACTAGTGAGCATGAAGAAACTGTTGAGGCATGCTGCTAATGGATTTTGAAAAGCATGTTCTTGAATTATGTAAGCGATTCTTGTAGAGAAATGATAAGAGGTGATTTCATGGATATTCCTGGTTCACACTCTAAATATTTTTTCTGTAAAAGGAGTTGGGATTTTTCCCACCATTCTGTGTTCTTTGCCTAAGTTGATTGTATAGTCACCAAATAAGGATGATTGTGAAAAAAAAAAATCGATACTAATGAAACATTTTTATTAAATTAAATATTTACCCTTTCCAATGACTTTAACATTTTTTAAATCCATCCAGCAAACTAGCAATCTGAGAGACTGTGTAGACATTTTTTAAAATTGTCACCATAGCAACAGTCTGAACTAAAAATTGTGATAATATTATCATTTAATTAAATTTTAAAAACTGTTTTCTTTTCTTAAAACATTATAATGTTTATAATTAAACATTATAAAACATTTTCGGGCATATAATCAATGCATTCAGATGCTTTGAAACTTCTTAATGTTCTTCAAGATGTGAAAGTGGCTTTTAACTGTACTGGCAAAAGGTTTTGGCTGCAAGAAGTACTGATTGTTTCTACCATTTGGATTTTGGGAAAGGCATTGAAGTGGTATCAGATAGGGATTATTTACTCCATGAATGTGCTTGGGAATATGTTTCAAGTGAGCTGCTGTAATTAGATGCAGTATCCAAAAGGAATCAAAGTTTATTATTTTATCAGCTTTAATAACGAGATTATTATTTTAGGTATACTCTCTGATGAAATCATCAATGCTTTAATAAAAGAGAAGAAATAAGAAACTTTCAGTGATAGTGATTATTTTGCTAATGACAGATGTTTTTTGGAACATAACAATTCTGTTGTCAGTATTCAAAGATGTTGCAGATCAAACTTTGAGTGCTTTGCAGAACTGGAGAAAGGTGTTAGAAGAAAGCCCACTCGTAAAAAAATGATTGTGTGTATTAGTCATGAATTATTGTCAGTATGGCGGGAAATGTTTCTGTGGCATTAAGTGAAAATAAATAAGTTACATGGCATATGTGAAAATAAAGTGTTCACAAAATGTGTGCAAGTACTTGTATGTTTGATTTATTGTAAATGTTTCATGTGTATTTTGTATTCATATTTCATTTTATTAATTGATCCTTATTTTTGAGCCCGTCAAATGAAGGCAGCCACCCAAATAACTAGATTTTATGACGAATTACCTTAAAAGTAATCCCCATGAGGGTTCAGGCACTGTTCCTTTGAAACATGCACATTTTTGAAACAATATGCTTCATTGTTGTGATTTCTATTTGATCACTGGTATCTTTTCAACTAAAGTAACTAAAATGGATGTGTGACTAGATTGATTCCTCACACTTTTCTATCTAGAATGACATTTTGTTTCCTAGCTGTGTCATGAGTGGCTGAAGAAAATAGATGTCTTCCAAAGCAAAAAGTGTGATAGAAAGTAGGTTCTCATGATCTAAGAAAAATGTAATACCTCACTTGTGTTATTTGGCATATTTCTAGGTTTCTTGGGCAAGTGACCCAGCATGCTTCCACTCAAGAGGGATTTCAGCATCATATTTTAGCCCCTGCAATAATATGGAATGGAAAATTATTTCCCTATGCCATTAGGAAGTACTACATTCCCATTCAGTACTGCTTTTGTGAAGTGGTAATATTATGGAAGGTCCATTGAGCTGTATTTAGCAATATTTAGGTATTGTGAGGTGATTGTGCCATATCGTGCCTGATAAAATACATGTGTTACGTGTTTATAATGAATTATTTAGCTAATATACTCTAATTTCATGTGAAAATTGCATTCTTATTCTTTCATGATGACCGAGCCATAGTGGCTCACTGATATTTTTTTATGGGTGCTGAAATACTCTTCTCTATCACTGCAGGCTCTGATTATCACTAATGCCAGTATCTACTGCAGTTCCCATTTTTACCTGTAATTTTTATATTTATTAAATTATTATTGCATAATTTTACAGCTTGAAATTTTTATTTCAGATACTAGTGCTCATCGAACAACTCCAAATCCGTTTGAAATGGCTGAATTAAAAGAGTCACTGGCAGCAAGTGCTTCTCAAATGAGAGAAAACAATCGCAACTTTAATAATGTGAGAAAGACACCAGAGACTTTCTTAGGACCAAATTCAAATTTAGTTAATTTAGATGCTCTTGTTAGTACACAAGGTTCTGAAAGAGGTTTGAAATTTCTATTATCATTTATCTTAAAATTTAGAGTTGCTTTTGTATACATAATAAGCAGCTGCTCAAAAAATAAGAAACAGAACAAAATTATTTGAATGAAACCAAACCTATTTTATACATTAATTGAAATTTAAGTACATTTTTGTGGACTAGGCTATAGATTAAAAATTGTAGCAGGTAAAATAAAATATGCATATGTTTATAGAATTAGCCATTTAGCTGGTCAAACTGTGTGCTTTTCCTTGTATCTTTAGAAAAGGGTATATATGCATCTTAAAATGTTTTTATATTATTATAACAATGCATTAGAAGAAACTGAATCCAGCAGCAGTTTTTAATTCTAACCAAGAAAATAATTTTCTCATGCCATTTTTGAGTGTATTGAGGTTCCAAAGCTAAAATCTTGGCTAATTGCAGGGTCAAGAATGTTCACTGGGATTCTTTATTTGATATGTGATGCCTCCAAGTTAAAATGCATGCTCAATAATGGCGATTTGTGCTTTCAGTGATACTGCTAATCATTTGTTATGGCAACAGTACTCTTGTAGAAGTGCATGTCAGATATCTGGGGTACTTTGTGAGACATCGACCTGCAGTTGATGTTCCCATCCTTGCTGTATCTGATTCAGATTGGATGATGATGATAGAGGCCCCTGCATATGGAGAGTTATTTTGCCCTCTGGATATCTCTGAACCCACAAGTTCCTTGTACTCATGCATCTCCCATGTGCATCACATCGGTGCCTGTTGAATAGTAAATGGATAAATATTTGGGTGTAGTGTTTCATCACTATGTAATGCTCTTGTTATTGCCAGCAAAAATTTAGTGGTAAGTATAGTCATTGATGGGTATTCCTGCTCATGATAGGGAATTGCCTTCTCTGCAATGGTATTGAAATGGTGTTCTCTGCATGTCAAAATTGGTAGAGTATTATTCAGGAGGTTAAACAGATTTGTCTGTAAAGATTACTTCATTTCATCAATCTTGGTTCCACTGTAGATGCTTATGAGTTCAGTTCAGTTGGGCTTTGACATGGAATGATGCAGGTATTATTGCCCAATCCACCCACACGAAGCCTACATGAAATGGTGTGTGAAAGTGTAAAGAACTTGCTATAATAGCAGAGTTCCAAAATTGCAAAATTCCAATTAATCTTCAGTGATATCTTGCTCTTTGACAAATGACAGAAAAGGCAGTTTTTTGCAATGAAAAAGTTCTACAGGGCATACAATTTTTGGGGGGAAGTGCTAACAGTTCTATTACAACAGTAATAGATTTGCCACTGGCTTTTGATGTTGCAATGGACATTGAGCACTCTTTCAACACCTGATTATATTGGATCAGCTTGCAATGTTTCTTTAGTCTTTGACGTCATTCCTTTCATCAGATGGTTACTTTTATTCATGATCTGTAATTTCTGTATCTCATGTTTCTTGAAGCGTTGCAAATTGCAATTTCAAATCCAGGACAGGTATTGGTATTTTAAATAATTTTGTTTTGGCTCCTGTGTTACATTATGTGCAAATTTCATTTGCTTATTTGAAATAAAATCAGGAACTGTATCAGTTATGTAAATTCTAATTCCAAATAATATCTTTGATATATCTAGTTTTTATTTTTTAAATGGAAGTGTTTTCCATGCAGCGTATGTAATTATCTTTTCTTGACACTGAAATTCCTAATCTGAGTTGTGCTAAAAATTAGTTTTTTTCCCTAATTTTTTTAAAAAATAATATTCATATAAGGAATGCTAGTACAAAAAAGCTGGACTATTTAGCTTGTCTTTGACAACTAACTGGAAATCTCAAGCAACTGTAATATTTTTAAATTTTAGTAACCCCTCCCACAAATTTAATAAATAAGAGTGATAATGACATTATAGAGCTCGTTACACTAATGCATTGTCACCAAACAGTGTGATTTACTGCCAGTAATTTATAAGCATGACATCTGAACATAATTATAAAAAGTTTGTTATGGTTTAATGTAAACTTAATTCATTCTTGGTGAGCTAAATGGTTTAATTTTTGTAAAGCAGAATATAAGTTGTTTTTCCCTTGTGTTTTGAAAAATGGTTAATATTTGAAACAGATGAAGTGTTTTCACAGTTACTGAATCCAGGCATTTAAAAAAAAAATCATGATTCACGATCTTGGAAATGGTGATTAACATGAAAAATTATAAGCCATATATCTGTAATTTGTATCTTTATTATTTAACTAAATAAATAAAATATGCTTAAATAAAAAGCTAGCTTTTTTTTAACTTTTGCTGAAATTAATGGCGACATTTCTGCCAACTTTTACATTTGGTGGGATTTCATAATTGGATCAGATGCTTTACTTAAAGGCCTAACAAATATGCTGGCTTTTAAATCTGAAATCTCTTTTCTTACAAAATCATATATAATTTTAAATGTAGGATTTTGATATTCAAGGTGGTAACAAATAAGGTGATTGTTTTTATAATTTTCGAGCAGAAAATTTTTCTGTACATTTGATTTTTCAAACATCATGAATTCCCTTTTTTTATATGTTCAACTATCTGTAATTCAGCATCTCCCAATCTTTCTGGATATATTTCAACTGTGTTAACTGCAACCTTGACATTCTGCTAAAACATTTAGAATTGTCTAGGACGGGTTTTAATTACATGCTATAAATGGTTAGGGGGTCATGTGACAATTCACTCTTCACGAGAAAGGCTGAATTTGCTACCAAAGGACAGAAATTCCTCATATTGGGTTATCTTCTCTTCAGCTGTCTTTCTTACCTTAGTTTCATATTTACAGAAATAGATGCAAGGATTCACATTGATTTGGTAAAAAATAAAAAAATGTTGAAATTTTTTTCATGCTACAGGAATTTTATATGAGCAGTGCATATTTCGTTACTTCGTGGAACTATATTTTTAGTGGAAAATTTTTTTTTGTATTTTATGTTATTGTAATAAAATCATAATAATTTGTTATTGTGTAATCCTTATAGCCAATTATTAAGAATTTCTTTCAGTTTGTATTGATGTGCACTGTGCCCCCTCCCCAAAAAAAAAAATAATAATTCTCCCATTCTACTGTGCCAGTTAACAAAATTCAAATTGCGTTTTTCATCTATCAAAAGCATGACGTAGGGTATATATTAGATTAACATATACCCGCCTGCCTTCTAATATAGGTATTTTGATACAAAATCTGAATTTTTCTGAAATGGCATGCAATGTTTACCATATTTCGATTCTATGACTCAAACTATGCCTAAATATTAAATTTTGTAAAATTTGGTGCGAAATTTATGGAGAAATTAAAAAATTTATCTTGACACATTTGTTTCAGTTTGCGCCAAGAATAATTCACTTGGCGAACTTCTTAATTTATAGCAGCCTATTTTCCTTTTTCTCTTTGTACATGAGCTGAAAAAAAAAGGTCATCGTTCATACTTTTAAATTATGCAACTTGGGAAATTTGAATAAAAAACTAAATTTTTTGCAGGTCTACTTAGAAGTACATCTATTTTAAGATGAATGTAAAAATTTATAGGTTTTAATAGTTAATTTTATAGTTTATTTATAGGTTTTAATAATAAGTTCTTTTTGAAAAATTTATAAAAAATATATAAAATACAAATTTTAAAAATAAATTGTACAAAATATGTGAATTATATTTGGATTAAGCCAAAATTTTGAATTCTCGAAGAAGTAATCAAGTAAGTTTAATAAAAAAAAAGATATTAATACTACCTAGTTTTAAAATCTACTTGTGCGATTTTTGCAAAACTTGGCAGTTTGGCATAATTTCAATCGTAGAATCGAAATATGGGAAAAAATTGGCTTGTCATTTCAGAAAAAGTCCGATTTTATGTCAAAATACCTATATTAGAACAATGATGTATATAAATCTAATCATCTTTTTGTTTGTGCAGTGTCCATGCATTTTTGTTGAAAGGTAGGAAAGCTATATAATACAGGGTTGCCACGCTACCTGGAAAACCGGAAAAAGTCAGGGAATTCGGAAACTGACCAAAAAATTCGGGGAAAAGTCAGGGAATTTAAGTGTTTCAGTCAAAATCTGGAAAAGTCAGATAATTTCATACAATGATCCTGCAAAAAAAGGCGAGTTTTGCGCCGACGTCAGAAGAGATCACTTTTTTGGCGAATTGTGTATCACGTGAGTGTCATTCGGGCAGCTGGCATAGAGCCAATTTTCGCAGCTCCAATTTGATTGTCTTTTTAGAAAGACAAAGCAAGTTTCCCACAACTTTTGGTTTCCAGTAACCTCGAGAATCGCATGTACAGTGCATGAACTAAAGAAAGTACCTGTTCTCGTATAAAACAAAATGGGTTTAATCCTAGTATATGGTACCATGTAGGTTAGAATTAAAAAAATATGTATTATAAAGAAGGAAAACCTCTATGCAACAGACGTGTCTCGGTTCCCTCATAGCGGGAAACAGCTGTGCATGCGCGATATATGTATCTGTCGCCAAAGCTCGAAACCGGTGTCGAAGTTCAAAGGTCACGTTATCGAGAGTTCATAAAATGAATATTGTTTAAAATGTCTTTAAACTCTAAAGGAAAAGGAAATATTTTTTGGCGCAAGTAAATTAATTCATGGATTAGTTATTTTGAGGCAGGGGGAACCTACGAAAATCCGTTTTTAAAATTATTGCGAAAAATTCAAGAAAAAACGTTCTTTGATAAAACGTTTCTTCTTGGATTTTTCGCAATAATTTAAAAACGGATTTTCATAGTTTTCTTTTTTGTCAAAGAGCGTTTCTTCTTAACACGTGTTTCTCAATTTCCTGTACACATCGCGGAGAGGGAAATTCAGGCCGCCAGGTTCCGTCGCCAAATCCCTTGGCAAATTTTCTCTCCACTTTCTAGCCGCGTAATAGCATTTACATGCACGGAACCTTTTCTTCTTTACATAGACGTTCTTTGGTTAGAATAATCTCCGTGTATGGTACGGCGGGATTTGGCGACATAATGATGAGCAGTAAACGGGTCATTTTGTTCTTGGCGACAATTTTCAAAATCGTGCGAAGGCCGTACTGTATACTAGGATTTTACTGCAAAATCTTTTTTTTTTTTTTTTTCCTTTTCTTTTTAATAAATACCTTGTCGTTTTGCAGTAAAATAAAAAAATAGTAATCTGTCATCTAAGCTAACCATGTAATATAATTATATTCGCTAAAATATCATTGATTATTCTAATTCAATTTTTAAGTAATTATCTTTATTTTTATGTTATTCATATCATTTAATGTTGCTTCTTCCCTCTAAATTTATTTATCATTAGTAAATAATATTTCCAAATTTCAGGAAATTTTCTCTGGCATAATCCTGAAATTAATTCTAGCAGTATGATGACATCACGAAATTTAATGCACATATTTTTTCCTTATGTATGCTGCGAAATAAATATAAAATACCTCAATTTAGTAAAAAATATCATTAAATATAATTTAATTAATAATAAATTAATTAATAAGATTTCTTTCATTTAGCTGCAGAATGTCTGCAAAAAAAGCCTTATTTTATTCCAGATTGGGCAGATTCTAATCTCAATCTTCAGTGGAGAAAACAACTCCTATTATAATTATATTGGTGTTTTCAAGTCTTAAGGTGCCTTTTAAGAAGACACCTCACACAAATTAAATTTACCTAAAATCTAACCTAACTTTTAGCATTGCGTTGTGATTTATAAGAACTGGATTAGCCTCATGTTGAACTGGTGATGATCATGAGTAATAATTAAATAAAACGTACAATTGTTATCCAATGTATATGTTTAAATTTTTATTAAGTTTCTTAAGTGGAAAAGTAAACAAAATTATCAACAAAGTGTACCAAGAATAATTAAGAATAAATGTCCTCTGGGTTTATGAATAATTAAGTGAATTTGCTACACAGTACAAATATACCATAATTAATTTACCTCTTAGCACTGCGAACGTACATTACGCGGATAGACTGGAATTTTCTCGAAACATACCTGGAAAACCTGGAAAGGTCAGGGAATTTCATTCTTCTGTTTGAGTGGCAACCCTGATAATAATTTAATAATTATTATTTACAGTTTAATTATAATTTTTTTGTAAAATTGTTATGTTACTATAATTCATTGTAATGACAGTTTAATGAAAATTATGCAATAAAATAAAACAAATAATAACAATTACTATATAATAATAGTTATTTATTACACTTTATTATAAATTTATATACGCTACCTGGCATTAAAAATGCAAACCGAGAAGGAGTGGCCCCAAAATTTAAATTTTGGGATAGATGCATGTCACTGAGTTATGCGAATGATGTGAAATGCAGTTTTCCAGCACACGTCAAAGAAGCTATAAGGGAAGAAATGTGCAGAATGTTCAATTTGCCTATCCATATTTCTGTTAGGGAAATCATTGTAGAAAATTTGTTCTTGTCTCAGAGGATGTGTGTAATAGCAGAGAACTATACAACACCATATGAGGATATGCAGATACTATTACGAAGGGACAAAGCTCGAGGACTTTCTGGCAGCCAATAATATTCATCTATTAAATACGCCAGATTCACCACCTAACATTTGATAATACCTATCATGGGATGGCCAGATCTCACCCTCTGTTCAAGCAACACTGCAAATCCAAGCAACACTGAACTGTGGTCGATGATGAGAGCTGCTCTGATCGCAAATACCTTCACTTTCATAAACTGTGATGCAAAAATCACAATCCTACGTAGGTACAGGCTTCCAGGCAACAAGATTCTCTCCTTCACATGCATCTTAAGTAATGAGGAAGACAACCTTACACTTCACAGTAGCCCAGAAGGCATGTAGATTGTCACAGACTGATTACTTAAAAGCCTTAAAGCAGCCTGTAGTGAACTACTCCCCACCCACACAGCAAAGAAAATACAAGGAGTTACGTGGTAGACGAAAGAGCTCGGACAACAACGGCAAAAATGCAGACCTATCGGATGCCACATATGTACCACCACTAATGAAGATAGGAAAGTCCAACTATTGGTGGTGGCATTCCACAGAGAGTGCACTCTATACAAAAATCACATTTGGTCAAAATTACCAGTTGGAGAAAATTTTGTACCATAAACAGCAATCCATATGCAATCCTCCATAAGCTAGCCTCAAATAAAATATATCAGCCAGTGCAAATATTCATGGAGCCACCAAATACCACTATGTGTTTGAATACCATCTGACAGTAAGAAATCACCTCCCTCTTCCCACCAATAATAGAGAAGCCTATCACCGCTTCCTTATAAAGCACAAACCGGCAGTTACAGACACATAAGTCTACCCATAAAACTTACATAAGACTCTATTACAGACACTAATCAAATAATGTGCAGTCAAATGTTTCCAGCATATATTTAATGTTTCCTCTTTGGTATATGCATAATACTTAATGATTTTACTCATGAGCCTGTATTTTAATTCTTTTATTTTATAACTGTATTTTTGTATTTATATTTTTATTTCAGTTTTATTACAAATATGCATAATTACCATAGCAATTAGCAACAAAAAATATCAACACAGTAAAACAAATACAATGTGCACTTGTTTGGCCATGTAAATGCTCTCATTAACATCCTAATAAACTCTTGAGGCTGCCTCTTGAAGTCTCAGGGAGTTGGTTGGTGGAGGGCACAGGACATATGCCTTTTACCTCTGTTAGATATCAGGCGTCCGAACCTCCGTCACTAACCATCCATTTTGAGCTGATACTCTTCTCACTCTATTATGCACATCATTTCAAAATAAAGGTAATTTATTGTTCTTTGCTGTCTCTCTCCGTTTGCCGAGTTTCATAACTTTCTGGCCATGCCTTCTTGGTTTTGCATTTTCAATGTCAGACACTGTATATAAAGCAAAATTGAGTTTTGAAAACAGTCGTATTTTCCCCAATAATAAATGAATAAATGTGAAAAACATGATGTAATCAAACAGTTACTTACAAATAATGACCAGTTATTGTTTTAGATTACTTAAATGTATTTTTCCACCTCCTTAAGTCTGGTTTTTAAATGCAGTGAAAATAAACTAGAGGAAAGTAATAATGGAAAAAATGCCTGTGACTTGACTCACGTCCATCCACACTATTTTGTGAATAAATTTGTCCCAGTGTTGCATGCATGTTTGTGCTCATGGTCTTGGTTAAGCTATAGTTGAGCTTTTACTATACTTAAATATTTAACATGTTTTTTATTGTGACTTAATATAGGAGAGTACTTCATTGTCTTGTAAATTTCATATGCAAATTATTGCTGTGCCAACATCCTGTAGATCATTGCTATAGGTGGTCTAACATTTTCTGAATACTTTTATATGCAGTTATTGTGATTGAATGTATCTTATATAAAGCTGTTTCTATATTGTATTGAGAAATGAATAACTGTTAAATTTTTAGAACCAGGAGCTGGCAATCCATTTGGCATTCCACCTCCAGTTAGCAATCCTTTTCAAGCAATGAGGCCACCACCTCCTACTATAAATCAACTAAGAGCTCAAATGCAAATGATACCACCTATCCCAGCTGCTATGGTAGTACCTCCTGTTATGCCTACACCTGGAATTTCAATGGGAGTCCCAGCAGTCAACTCTTTCTCTTCAAGCCCTCAGATGAACAATCCTTTTCTTTAGGCATTTGCTTTTTTAGGTTAGACATGCTTCCATACTACAGCTGTGTGCCTCACTTCTTCAACTGATGCCTGTTATTCTGGTTTCAGTGAAAAGCTGTGTAGCATTTTGCTCTGGGCATACTTCATTATATAAGGAAATAAATTTCACTGGTGTATTTAAAAATGTTTCACATGAGAAATCATATGCAAATTGTATCTTAATAATAGAATTTGTAGATAAAAGCAATCATTTTTCATTTTGAAGATGAGAATGATAATTGCCTAATTCCTGCTGTGGAGATGTTACAGATTTTAATGTAGAAAGTCTGGACAAGATAGAATGAAAATTTATAGTACACATTTAAGTATTTTAGATATAATTTCTCAAAGTATGTATATAACATGGAACAAATTGTGTAATTATTTAAATATGAATATATTAAGTAGTATAACTATTGGCACAATGAAAGCCTAGGAGTTAATTTATTTGATCAAATATATTTTAAATGTACATTATTAAAATATATCTCTGTGGAGGAACACAGATTGTTTGCATTTATTGTTTTATAATCTGTATTTAAAAGTGAACAGTTATAAATTGTTTCTCTAAAAGATCTGATTTAGTGATATTTTAGTATTCTAATCGTTTTATTAAACATATAATGAACATTATTGCTTCTATCCTTCCAGTGCTTCAGTAACCAAAGTATTGTGGTCACAATGGTCACATGCATGTTCTGATAACATATGTTTATTATAAGCTGTAATCAAAATATATACTAACAGCTGAAATCAATTGTACATTCATTTTCAGCTGAGGTTTATTTGAGTATTGAAACAGATTGAAGTGCTTTGTAATGAGAGATCAACGTAGATCATAAGGAAATTATTTTTAGTATATTGTATATAATCATCTTCAAGCCTTGTATTAAAAAGTTGTGTAATATAATTGTTCTTGCTCTTCACTGCTATCATGTCATTAGGATGCATTCTGTATTTTTATGGAATCGGATGGTGTTAAAAACCCTTATAAAGTATGCAAATTTCTAGGAGGTGTGGATGTGTTCATGTGGTTGGTGGATAACTGAAAAATGTGTTTGAATAATATGCAACTGTTTCTTATGTTCCTTTTTAGAGTAATCTATTTTAGTATGTGGTGAAAATTAAATTATGGCTTGTTATATATGTATGTATGTATATCTGAGTCCAAATGATCAAGAGAAATAGTATAAGAAATAAATTTATAATAAAAAATATATGTAGCATAATTTTAGCAGAACTGAAAGAGTATAGATGTGTATATATATATGTTTAACATTTGTATATTATGTAGATCTGCATATATACAATAATTCGCATATGAGCATATAGGTATAGAACTTGGCTGTTAGTCTTGTAATGACTTTGTTACATTGGGATATTAAGGAAAAAAAAGGTTTTTTGGCCTAGCTGAAGGGGGAGGGTATGATATTTGGGTGTCAGTTTCACAGACTGCATGGAGGTGGTAGTAGTAGTAATGGGCTTCTTTGTATAAATTTGTTCATTTGGCAACTACATCTTCAGAAAGTTTGTATATAATTGTGTCTTTGAGAGTATGGTATGCTGTGCTAAAATTTATTGTGATTTTGCGTAAAAGCTGCCTGCAGTGGTTATAGTTGCATAAATTTGTAAGTATACTAATTACAGTTTCATCACAGTGATTAGAATTTTATTATATTACTTCCAGAATTTGACATTGTGACTCATACTGCTTATATACATACATACATATTCATAAATATATATATAATGTGCATGCAAATAAGTATTCTAAAGTATGAAATGCTTTTAATCGTGTATTTTAAAAGCTGTATATTCATATGTCCAGACATTTACAAAGTTATTTATATTGTATGTTTGATCAGAGTTCTTCAATAAACTTATATTTTATCATGATATACAAATATTCATTTTGTGAATCTTATTAGTTTCTGCAAGTTTTCTCTGGGTTATTTTGATATTTGATGGATAGTTAAACATTTTTATCTTAAGTATTTAAAATGAAAAGTCAGTCAAAGTCTAGCATGTTGAAATAATTCCTTGTGATGATTTAGAGTATGGTTATTTTAACTAAAAAGTTAATTTTGTGAAAACCGTTAAATAATATACATACATACTTCTCTCATCTCTCTGCTGGAAAAGCCTAGACATGAGGCAATATCAGCTCAATCGTTGATGAAGTTTGTGAATAATGGTGCTGCAAGATTTGACTGTAATGATATAATTAATAAGTTTCAGTAAAGTTTCTATTTATATGCTTCTCCAAGATGTCTTATTAGAAATGTTTAAACACAACCAAGGGGTATGGTCAAATACATACCTTACCACAATTGATTTGGAACGACATGCAAGGTTGTTTAAAACTGGAGATACAATAAGCTTATGTTTGTTGTAAATCTGATATTTTTAGGGCTATGTAAGTATTTGGAAAGACTTTTTTTTTCCAGGTATCATTTATTTCTTTTTCAGAAGATATAATTTATTGATATGACATAATAAATAGTTATATTCTGTGCTTGAGTTTTATTGATATTTATCCTATTTTGCATATAAACACTTTGTAAAGTACCATAAATTCAGAAATGAAAGAAAAGATATTGGAACCATCTATCATATTTATAGAAAGTTTAAGTAAAGTATGATAATAAAATATTTTATTTGGAGGTGTAAGAAAGTAGCACAGTCTATGTAAATCTCCTGCATGTATTTTAATATGCATTTTCAAAGTGTTATCCACATATGTACAGTAATCTAGTATAGGGTGCTTCATGAGTCCTAGACTTTAGTATGGGAGGAAGTATTTATTGACAGAAGAGCAATTCAGAAATATATGATAGATAGGTATGAAATAATTATAGTGCATTTCAGTACATTGTTTCCAGTTAGTTCAATGCCCATTTGCCAGATCTGCTGAGTGAGACTTGAAAACCTTTAAGAGTATAGAAATTTGATTCATAGTATTTTAAATATGAACTTTTAGTTCATCAGTGTTTCCTAACTGTGACTTAATATAATCTGAGGCAAAGAACTGAAAAGAGGAAGACTTTCATGATGAGCCCTTTAAGTCCAGTTATTGCTGAATAGACTGCAAAGATAATTATGATTTTAGAAAAATGTGGTGATATAAATGACCAATGACTGTTACCTATTGTCTTGCTTTCAGGGGGCATTAAGACTTTAATCAAATATTAACTGTAGCTAAGTTTGTAAAATGTTGCATGGAGATGTTCATCAGGCATATCTTGCTGTTGTGGGATTAAATATCTACTAAGTGTGAAATAGGATTTCGTCATTAAAGAAGACATTTTCATTTTAACAAGAGAGCAAGTTTTCCTTTTAACAATTTGCAGGACAATGCATTTAAAGACAGGATGCAAAATCTTCGTCATAAAATGTATGGGAATACTGTAAAATCTCTCATAATTGGCACCCAGTTAACTGGTAATATCTAAGCAATGGCACTTTTGAAAGTCTAAGTCTGAAATTTAGGTGTTTAAGATTAAAAAATATATAATGGGCTAGCAGTCTGAAGATTTAAATGTGGAAAATGAAATTTGTTTAATACTGTGACATAAATTAGTGTTTCTGGTACCTAACATAGCAAGCCTTACTCAACTAATGGACCAAAGAATTATCTAAAATATAAAGGTAAATTTGTTTCCATGATTTCCAGAAACAATTCACATGCTTTAGGACGGCCCAGGGTAGTCCCAAAGATGCTCTGTGGGATTCAAGGTTTGGAGATTGAGCTGGCCATCCGCTCCACACTGTGACCCTCAAGATATTATTCACCAACCCGACCTCGGTACGGTCGCACATTTTCGCCCATCAGAAGAAATCCAGGACCAATAGCAACGGCATTTGGGCAGACATATTGATCAAAGATCTCGTCTCGATATCTCACACCGGTCAAAGTTCCCTTATGGAACACATACAGGTTAGTGTGAACACCGAGAGATCCCAGCCTAAACCATTATTCTACCACCTCTGTAACTTTTTCTTTCCACATGTGGGTTTAGTTATATCTGAAGCATTGTTCCCTCCAGATCAGCTGACGATCTGAATCATTCTCCAATGTGAACCTGGACTTGTCCGTGAAGAGAACAGACGTTTATTGTTGACTTCCAGGATAAGTGTTCTCTTGCCCAACATTAAACGGACACTTCTATGACATCGTTTCAAGGCGAACACAAGCAACTGTTTGTCTTGTATACAGATCTGTATAGTGCAGGCATCTGCGCACTGTAGTAGCTGAGATTCTTATTCCTGTTGCCACTAAATGATCTGCCACGTGCAAAGGCACAGTAATGGTACTTCTTCGGGCTGAAAGAGTTAAATAATGGTCTCCTGCAGGTGTTGTAACTCTAGGTCTGCATGGAACATGTCTTCTAGACACAGAATCCTTCAACCTGAATTCTGTAGTCCTTGAACCACACTATGAAAGACATTGAGATGTCTAGCAGCATGAGCTCGTGACATACCCATTTCCATCCATTCGATTGCCTGCTTCTCCTGGATATTATCAATGAAATTCCTAATAACAATTGAAGACCAATACCCGTGAACAAAACTCATAATTTTTGCATTCTCGAATTCCTATATAAGTAATCCTTTCTATAAAATAAAAGTTGTAGCTATTGTTTTTTCATATATTTTCTTTCTTTAAGTTCATTACTATCATGCGTATAAACTGTGAATTTATGTTGCTTACATTTTTGTAACGATGAGCCTTCAAAAACATGCTGTTCCTTAAATTTTGGAGGGTAGTGTAATTATTGTAGATTTTGAAGCTCCTAGTTTTCTTTACTTTTTTGTTTATGTTTTTAATGCTTAGTTATATTTATTGTCTTCCATTAAATCCCTGTACAACCGGGATATGTCCTGTGAAAAAAATGTAAAACTTTTGAATTTCCTTTTCAAAATTTAGCAAAACCGAAATTTTAGTGATGGCCTGCATTCTATTCTGTCATATGTAATTTGATTTTTCATGCCAAGCACTTGATTATGTTGTTTGCTGCTACCGTAGTCTGTCATTATTTAAGTGACTAAAATCATAAAACACCGATATATTATGGCAGATTCAGTGCTTTATAACAAAATCGGCTGGTACAGTACAATATAAATTTACAAAAGATTTCATGGGTTTTACTTTGTCTAAAATAAACAGAAGCCATTAATACAGAAAGTTTTTTTGCAGAAAGATAACACTGTATTTGGCAGACAGCCCTTGTGTACTTTTGTACCAAATGAAACTGATACATTTATTATCTCAAACACAATTAGTAATTTCTTCATTATCTCTATACCTTAAAGTATATTGAGCTTATACGTGAATTTGGGAATGGTGGCTGTTATCCGCATTTGATTATGTTGTTTTTCGTGGCAGCACTTCTTGACACTTGTAAATGCCTGTAGAAAGTTTGCTGATTCCAAATGTGTGCCATTATTCTAATTTTTATCTCCAAATTGCTTAGCTTTAAACTGAAGATGAAAATTCAGTCTTCCAAACATTTATTACGTGAGCAGCAGTAGTCATTTTATTAATTGCTATTTTCTGTTCCAGACACTGTTTCCAAGAAGTTTTTTTATCAGAAATTTGCTTTTCGTTCTCTTTGGGCCAACCAGTGGCTGATCGGTTTTGGCCTGGGGTTCGATCCCAGCGAACAGGCCGGCTGCATGGACATTTTTAGTTTCTTCCATGCTTAACATGTATACGAGCTGGTTTCTCTTAGAAAGGACCTCCATGAAGGTATTTCTCCTCTTGGGCAGATAGCTGTTGAATTCTTTCCCATAATCAAATAAACTATACTGTTCCCTTTGTTCTAATTTGAGTGTTTGACCTCAAAACCTGTTATTAGAATGCTATAAAATTACTCTTAATATTTTAGATGTCTGTCAGTATTTAGGAATCAAGTAATAAATGCTAGAAAGATGGATAGATAAGGCATCGTTCTGCATGTAGGTTAGTGTCTACGCAGAAATTTTCACACTAGTGCCCCCAACACGTTTATACCAGATCACCTTTATGAAGATTTCTACCTTAGCAAATACGGGGCAGCTTATCAAAATTACATGTGTGATGGCTGTAATTTCTTTAAGCTGTGAGAAATCCAGTTCTTTAGTTGTAAAGGTTTGTTCAACGTTTTGAAGCTTCTTTTTCCCTTTCCAGTTCTTGGTCCTCCCGTTTATTGTACACATACAATTAATTTGTGTGTTCGAAAAGAAATGTCCAGGGGAAGGGAATTAGTTTCCCCTCTTAACCCCACAATTGTTAAAATACATTTTATTTTGGATAAGTTCGGATAATTTTTTGTGTGTAATTTATCTCTTTTTTTTTTTTTTTTTTTTTTTGGGCCCTTCGAAATTCTGTTGTAATAGACGACTTAAAAAACTTTGTAAAACAGGAGTGTGTTTTTTCATTATTAGCAAGTCAAAATTCTGTTCTAATATGCATCTTAAGAGCGTTGTGGAATGTAAAAATGAGAACTGTTAGCAAATATTATACTGATTTGTTCTACTTTTGCTTCTTGGAAACATTTAAGATTAAAAACGCTTGAACGTTTTAAAAAACTCGATATCGAAAACGTAAAATTTAAATTTTTCTACTACTTTGGATTTAATATTGCCGACTCAGGTGGATACCTGAATGGGGTTGATTCATTTAATTCAGTGATTTGATTTCTTCTAGAATGATATTTTTCCGGCACGTTATTATTTCGATATTATTCTTTTGCTTCTTATTTATTTCCTGCCAACTGCACCACTATCTTTTCTTGTTACTAGAAACAACTACGTATCAAAATACAGTTTTGATTTCTAGAAATTCAATATTATTCAAACTGAAAGTTGCACCGAAATTTAGTGGAAAAATGAACATTTCACTGAGAATTAAATAACAGTATTTAAGACTAAAATAATGCGAAAATGCTGATGAAAATTTACAGGTATAGAAGACTCCGTCGAAATAAGTTGTGTAATACTATGATGGATAGAAGAAAAGAAACCTACTTTAATTTTATAAATAACTTAAAGTACAAGGATGGTGTAATTAGAATTTCAGATAGCTTGGAAGCTCTGTGCATGATACCACATGTAGGGCAGAAATAACTGCAGCTCTAGGTCTGGGCATAGAATAATGAGTCCAGATGCCCACTGAGATTAGACCCGCCCGCCCCCAAAAAAGAAGGGCAATCGATGGAGGAAAAAATCCTAGAGTTTTGGAAATGGTCTCAAACTCTTCCTTTAGACTTCGGTTGATGTGTGCCAAAAGTCCCTGAGGGTGAGGAGTTCAAAGGTTCCTTTTTTCAGTTTCTCGCTTAAATCTTGAAAACTATCACTCCTAGAGAAAAATGCTTTATATACCTAATTGAAGCTGACAAAATTTCCTACAAAAAATGGTGTTATGCATTTTTGTCCTAGGACGTACGGCTGCCGAACTATGAGCTTGTGAAGTTTGGATGCTAAGTTAAATTGCATATTCTAGCGTTCAAAATCCTTCCAAACTAATTTCATTTT